CCCCCCCCCCCGTTTGTTGGACACCCTTCAGCAGTGTCCTCTTTAGGAAAGGGAGAGTCGCCTCCTCCCTCCTTGGTCTAAGAGGGAAGACCCACGGTCAGAGGTCGGAAAAGGGGAAGGAAGGAAGGAAGGAAGGAGATGAGGGGAAGGAGAACAGGTGAAAGGGAAGGAGAACAGGTGAAAGGGAAGGAAGGAAGGAGAGAGAAGAGGGGAAGGTGAAAGGGTGGGAAGGAAGGAATGAAAAAGGGAAGGAGGGAGCGAGGAAGGAAGGAAGGAAGGAAGGAAGGAGAAAGAGGGAGGAAGGAAGAGAAAAGGAAGGAAGGAAGGAAAAAGGGGAGGGAGAAGGAAGGAAAAAGGAGGGAGTGAGGAGGGAAGGAGGAAGGAAAAAGGGAAGGTAGGAGTGAGGGAAGAAGGAAGGAAGGAAGGAAGGAGAAAGGGAGGGAGGGGGAAGAAACCCGTGTTGGGATATTCCTTCTTGAGTGGTGATCCAGCTGCTTTCCTTCTTGGCATGCAAGGCAGGAAGAGATCCCAAAGGTGCCTCCCCACTTGATTTTTATTTTTTGTTTTCCTTTGAAAATGTTTCCTTTCTCATCCGTGAAGTTGCTTCATTTCTTGGATAAGAAACGAAACCTTTTCAAAGCGGGGCGAGGGAGAACCCAAGAAAGTCCAGTTGCCTTTTGGGGGAAAAAAAAGCACCTTTGGCACAACCCTGACCTGGATGATGGGAGAATCTCCACAGTCAAGGCAAGAAGGTAAAAAGTTGCCAGGGTCAAGGACGGGATGAGACAAGCCAGGAGATCCCCGGGGTTCCCCCACTCCCCGTCTTCTCCTTTCTCCCCTCCCAAATACTAAGAGCAGAGCCTAAGAAATAAGTGAGGGCAACAATAGCAGCACCTAATCCGAACTGGGAAAGAATAGATCGAATGACACGTCTTTATAGACTCTGTGACCGGAGGGTGAGAAGCAATTAGGGCAACGTAAAGCATTTGCTCAGCCCTCCCCTCCACCTCGGTTTTATGGGTCTGGAGCAGGAAAGACAAGTGCTGGTGAAGACCCCCAAGACTTAAAGGCCCACTTCTCAATTCTCTGATTATATATTTTCTTGCCATGCAAATCCCTCTGTGATTTGGTCACGTCCTGGCACAGCCTCCTTTTTCCTGTTTGTGCAGAGCAGTAGTGGTGCCCCTGCTGTGGATGGATAGTGGGGTGGTGTAAATTAGAAGGAAATTAATTTGCATTTCCCCAAAGTTTAGTTTGCAAGATCTTGGCTGTGAAAATATCTTTTTTGTTCTTCCGCTGAAAGCAGTTTTATCCAACTTAGCATTCTCCGGATTACAACCCAGCATTCTGAGTCCATGTAGCATTTGACTGCTTTGCTTTCTATATATCATTCATACCACCTATTCACTCATATTTGCATTGTTTTCTTGTTTCTTTCTCACACATTCTTCTTTTCATTGTTTTTTTCCTCCCCTTAATTCTTCTCTTTTAGTTACATCAGGGTGTCCAACCTTGGCAACTTTTAAGACTTATGGATTCCAACTCCCATGGCTGGCTGGGGAATTTTGGGAGTTGAAGTCCACAAGTCTTAAAGTTAAGTGCTTTTTTCTGATTCTGCGTCCCTGGTCTCATCCATCTTGTTCTATTTTCTTGGGTTTTTTTTCTCTTCCTTATAAGTATTCTACATTCAAGTATTATTATGGGAGCTGTATTCGCAAACATCTGGACAGCTCTGATGATATATTATTGATATGATATATTATTGTACGCCTGACACTTAGTAGTAATTTAATAAATGTAAATGTTTTCAGGTCTTGGAACGTGGGCCAACATCTGCTAGAAAGCTGGAACTTTGAAAGAAACATGATTTATGGGTATTCCACTTGTGCCAGGTAGAATTAGATATACATATGACCTGAAATCTCTCAGTTTTAGGGGGCTTGGATGGGTCAAAAGGCGAGGTGGAGCCGAGAAAAAGGCAGCTGTTTCATTGTGGACTTTTAAAATGGGTGACTTTTAACATGGAATCCACATTCAGTTTTACTTTTCACTGAATTAGAGCTGTTACCATTTCAGGCTTGTGGGTTGTGATTCTACTTGGCATACTTAT